ATCATGAATCATTAAAGTGTTAATGAAAATCCACCGTTGGACCCCATCTTGAGCTATATAAATATAGTTAATATAACCTAATATCTTAAATTGTCTTTAAAATCCATTTTAATATTATTATGCAGAATATACACTAGTGTTAGAAGAATGATTAAATATTTAAACTGAAGGCCAGGTATGTTGCCAGAGGTTTCGCTTATGGTTTTTCTTATATATTATACAAAAATGCTGAAATGACACTTTAAAATAGGCCAAGACCTCTTCCTTCCGCATCATTTTTAATTTGTCATTAAAGTATTATAATTTCATTAAACAACACATCGCCCAAGCTGATGCAATACGACAATTAAACATTTTAACAAAAATAAATCTACAATTTTGACAGGGGAACACAATTGGATGCAGGAAACGTTGAGACCAATTTGTCAATATAAACAATAATAAATTTGGGGTCCGTATTAAGACGTCGGCCTGTTGATTTCATGTTAACACGGGTCTTGAAAGGACTCACTGATTAAACATGGTTGTAGCAGCAATGAACGTTCACTGGGCTTACATATTCCAGCCAAGCTGAAACGCAATCCTCAGTTGGTATCGAATATCACGTCGGCCTGTTGATTTCATGTTAACATGGGTCATGGAAGGGCTCACTGATTAAACGTGTTTGTAGCAGCAATGAACTTTCACTGGGCTTCCATATCCCAGCCAAGCTGAAACGTAATCCTCAGTTGGTATCGAATATTGAGCCAGTCCAACGCTGAGATACGACACCTTCATGCAACAACAATCCCCAAGAAAGTTCTCATTTCTCCATTCCTCTCGCATCCCGCTGAGCTCTTCGGAATATTTTTAGCAAAAGCAAACCTGACTGGGCTGCGCTCATGCTGTTTGATATTTTCCTCTGACGTCGTTGGCAATGACAGACGTCATCAAGCAGACATTGCACTGTTGTTTTATTTAATTTTTCTGTAATACAAAGTGGCCAAGTTCAACTTTTAAAGTTTTATTTAGGATTCGAGTTAAAAATATTCACAGTGTATGAATTTTTTAATACGACATTTTAAGAAGTAAATCCTATTGGACTACTGGATCGAGATCAAGACAGATAAATTAATTCTGAGTTTACGACTAATCTTTCCGCTTCGAATGGCAATATTATATTCCAGTTCAGTCCTTTGAAACAGAATCTCGTCTCAGTACTGTTTAAGAATTTTGTCCGACCTCAAGGACTTATTCGTTACAAAGAAGTTTAGTGAGTTGTTGTTTAAAAGAATAATCAGTGTAACTTAAGCATCATACGAAACCCATAGTTACACTCTGAGGGGAAAATTGTGAGGAACTCTCTTAACGAATGTGGTTGCCGTATGGGATATTGCTTCACGTGGTCTGATCACCCTGATGATTGAAACAGTAAGTTCCTCTGATACATCTATTAATATCTACCAGTCTATAAGGAGCAACCTCAAAAGACATTTTCATGCTTCTCGCCATGAGAGTCTGAAATCTTATCAGATCTTTCAAAATTCGACGATAGAATAAGTAGGGTAATTATATTATTTTTTTGACGGAACTGAAAATAAATTTCTCGGTAGGATATCTGTTCACATAAAAACTAGGGAACAACAAATTTTCCTAATAAAAACTAACTAACGAACGAACGAACTAACTAACCAATCATTTAACCTTTCCTACTGCGTATCTGTTTAATACAATTTAGAGAAATATTTGTGTCCCGCTGAACAAAAGCTGTTGAAGCTCTGACTGATTGATCTCCGGCTCGCGTCTCTGTTCCAGATGTCTGATACTGCAGGACTGAGTAATGACTCTCTCAGGCTCTTAAATGAGCTATTGTTTTCGACAGTAACAACTCACGCTTTCGCAATACACAAATTTAATTTCGAAAGGTCAACTTTATCTCTTCGGATATCTTTCTTCCTTTTTGACACCACCTAAATCTTCACTATCAATTGTTATTTTGACCTGGTCAAAAGCCTTCGATTATCTGAGGCGGTGTGTTGACTGACCTTAGCAAAAATGTAACAGAAAATCAAGATTTCATCTTTTCAAGCTATTCCTTAATGTTGAGATGAATGAAAATTCTCACGACAAAATTTCGCGTCTCGAAAATCTTCACTAGTTATTATTACGGAGATTAAACAAGGAGGATACGATAGATTGCACGTGTAGCGCGCATGATCGGAAAGCCTGGAGAGAACAGATCACTTCGAAGACCTAGGAGAAGACGGGGGGATAATATTAAAATTGATCTAAAGTAATACGTTGCGTCGGTATGGGCTGGATTGAATTGTTTCAAGGCGGAATTCAGTGGTGGGCTATTGTGAACACTAATGAACCTTCAAGTTTCTTGACTAGCCAAGCGACTGTTAGTTGGTTGTTTATTAATCGCTGCTTAGGAGCTCTAAGAGACTAATTGTAAATGCTGAAATTATGTTTGTGCAAGTCTATCGCCTATTTTTATCAGTATTTTAAATTGTAAGTTAATTTGTAATTTAACTGTAATTGTCTAAACAAGGGCTTTAATTGTTTCAGCAAAAGTTCGTGTGAAACTAACATAAGTAATAAGAAATCACGACTGTTTAGACTGCGTTTAAATAACATTTGTTTTATTCTGTTAATTTATTTATTTCCCTATACAATACGACTTTGCAGCATATATATATATATATATATATATACTCCGTGGCATCGCAACAATTACTCCATTCACACACAGACGAAGGCAATGGCAAACCACTTCTGGATCATCTGCCAAGAACGTATATGAACAGGTCCCAGTCCGAGAAAAGGATGGAAGGATCCTGTTCATATGGACCTGTCGTCAGACAGAACACTAAATAAAATAAATAAAATATAAACGTACATACACCCAGATACAAGATACATAAATGATATTTTAGTGTTTGTTTTAATAACAGCGAGCAGCGAGGTTTTGGTACTGGTTGTTATGTAGATCTGACTTCTGGCTTTAATTTAGTTGTAACTGAAGAGCATGTCATTTATAATACTTTCACCATCTTGTATTGCAATGGTTGCGTTCCTTAAAAGCGATTGCAATGACAGCCTTAGCAATCTGATTCTATCGTTCCCCTACGGACGCCCACCACAAATAGTGCGTCAGTTGCGTACCAACACCTACGGTTTCTTTACTTATGATGCGTGATTTGTCTAGAAAAACATTGAATGGTACTGTGGGAACTGAGACTTGAGTTTCGTTAACGAATGCTTATCGAAATTTGGCTATTGTATAAGAAACTGCCTTAGTGTGAGGTGACGCCTGAAGTCTGCCAACACACCGTTGAGGGCACATGAACTTTCGCGTCAATCAACGCAGGAGTGGCGTACGTGGGACTAGTTCTGCCTCGCGCCCTAGTCCCTGATATTACAATATACACATGGGATAATTACCATTGCTTACACACGAACACAAGCCATTACCTCCGCAGTTATGACTCCATTATAGACAAGATGTGATTATAGTATAGAGAGGTTGCATTATTTATGTTCAAGGCTGTAGGGTAGGAGTGGCCAAAGCTGTCATTACTTTAAATTAATATACCAGGACCACAGCATCGCCATTTGTCTGTCGGCCGGAGTCGAATGGAAAGGCGGTTGTTAACGTTGGTGGGGGATAGGTGGTTTTTTTTGGGGGGGGGACTCAGGCGTAACGAAATACTGTGCTTTGGATACACGAGAACGAGCGAGATGCATGGGCACATGACAAAAGAATGTTTTCAGAAATGAACTGGAATGGAAATGGGGGAAATGTAAAAAGTATGTTTGTTTGTTTTTGGTTCTTATGATGTTTCATCTTGACAGTAAACAATATTTTGAATAAAAACGAGTTAATTGTATGATAAAGAGAAACTCCTACAACAGAGATGTCAGTATTTGAAAACCACAAATCACAATATTCCTATGTGAATATCGTACATCTGTTGTGGTAGGCGGAGTTGAGAACAAAGGTTTCTTATTCAGATGCCACATTGTTCTCACTCTCTAATATAGGTCTTACATCGCACAATTCTGACCACACAAATGAATTATGTACGTTCACAAACAATCATGAATACATAAAGACGAGCTTTAATCGTCATATAGCACGGGCCTAAAGTCAGTAAGCAGAAGAATAGTTTTGCTACTTCAGAGGTATCTAAGGCAGCCAAGCTGAAGACTTTGTCATGGGATTACAACAACCGAAACTTTCCCTCGGCGACGCCATACAGACGCCAATGTGTTTAGGCGACCATAGCAGCGTCTTCGGAAGACGCGACGTCCAACAGACTTCGAGAGATTCACGCGCTACTGCAAGGGGATTGGAACTGCCCCGAAGCACTGCATCTCATTGTATGAAGATTTCCGTCTTCTGGGTTGTTGCGCTGTGTAGTCTGGTCGATGTTTACCAACGTTTCAGAGGTCATACTGCCTCCGTCATCGCCCTGATGACGGAGGCAGTATGACCTCTGAAACGTTGGTTAACATCGACCAGACTACACAGCGCAACAACCCAGAAGACAGAAATCTTCATACTCATCGCCCTGATGACGGAGGCAGTATGACCTCTGAAACGTTGGTTAACATCGACCAGACTACACAGCGCAACAACCCAGAAGCCAGAAATCTTCATACTCACCGCTGTGAGAACCTCAGTCTTACATCTCATTGTACTTCGTGGCGATGAATTAAATCCGTACCACTATTCATAGGACCAACGTCAACTCACAGAAAAGGAATCCTACGCGGATTCATTCGATTGTGATGTTTGTCTGTAATAAGTGACAGGAGGGAAGAAATAATTTGTTAGAAACTTAAAATCGGCAATCGTTCTTCCGAAGACGATGCGAAAACTAGGTCTCAAAACACGGTGTGCTTGACAATGTCCAGCCTACTTACGTGTAGTCTCATGATACACTTTCTTACGAACTGTGTACTGTGTACAACAAGGCACAAGTTCTGGATCCAAGTTAGAGGTATGCGAAATGTAAAGATGTGTGCTGTTTTATTTTGCATAGAAATTGTGGGACATTTTACATTGACAACTCTTAATTTATAACAAATTATTTTCTATCATATTGATATAAAGAATTATTTTATCATAGGAGCTAAACGTTTTAATAAAATATGCCAATTCTGACATAAAATCACGGAGAATGCTGTCTTGTGATTCGAATTCCAGAATAAGCTCGCTCACTCGCTACGAACCAGTGAACGAAGGTTGAAAGCAGGGTTTGAGGTTTTCGAAGATGGCTGTCTTCTGGGTTGCGTAGTCTGTGTAGAAGTTTACCGACGTTTCAGAGGTTCCTGCTACCTCCGTCATCAGGGCCACCAGGCTACACGGCACAACAACCCAGATGATCTTGATTGCATAAGTGTTTGTGTGAAGTATACTACGAGCTGAAGCTAAGTGGCTAGATGTGTTCCCGGCGTCTCACTGAGCTGGCACATCTAAATCAGGCTTGTAGGTCCTGTTCTTTGTTAATATGCCCCGGTCTTCAAAATTAGGCAATCCGCTAAACGCCATTCTGAAATTGGATATCTTGCAACAATACACGTAACCTTTGTTCTGGTCTCGCCTATTCCAAGCCAAAGTCCACTTTGTCTGAGCGCACACGCATTTGCAAACGACATATCGCATGTAAGGGTTGTTTACGACTAAGAATACGATACCTTCCTTTGTATCGGGCTCGTAAACCAGTTTCCAAACCAATTTTGGAACAGGAATTACAGGGCTGCCATTATTGTCTGTGCCGAGGTAAATGCCACGATTCTCCAAATTAACAACGCCAAGCGTACCAGAATAGACAATTAGATCAGAAGCTCTCCTACTTGTGTTGCTGGCATATTGCCTTATTTCTTCGGCTAACTTCATCCAGTTCCCATTCCTGATGCTAAGCCACATTGGAACTACATTTACGAGATACATAGAAGATCTTTGTTGGGCTCCATAAAAAAAATCTAATGTATCAGCTAAGTGACTTTTAGTTAGATAATTAATGTCGTTTGAACATTTAATGTATCTATCAACACGCGACGTTCCAATGGAAGCCCCAATTACTCTCTGTTGATTGAAACGTTGGTAACCATCGACCAGACTACACAGCGCAAGAACCCAGAAGACAGAAATCTTCATACTAAGAATCACCCTGATGACGGAGGCAGTATGACCTCTGAAACGTTGGTTAACATCGACCAGACTACACAGCGCAACAACCCAGAAGACAGAAATCTTCATACTCACCGCTGTGAGAACCTCAGTCTTACATCTCATTGTACTTCGTGGCGATGAATTAAATCCGTACCACTATTCATAGGACCAACGTCAACTCACAGAAAAGGAATCCTACGCGGATTCATTCGATTGTGATGTTTGTCTGTAATAAGTGACAGGAGGGAAGAAATAATTTGTTAGAAACTTAAAATCGGCAATCGTTCTTCCGAAGACGATGCGAAAACTAGGTCTCAAAACACGGTGTGCTTGACAATGTCCAGCCTACTTACGTGTAGTCTCATGATACACTTTCTTACGAACTGTGTACTGTGTACAACAAGGCACAAGTTCTGGATCCAAGTTAGAGGTATGCGAAATGTAAAGATGTGTGCTGTTTTATTTTGCATAGAAATTGTGGGACATTTTACATTGACAACTCTTAATTTATAACAAATTATTTTCTATCATATTGATATAAAGAATTATTTTATCATAGGAGCTAAACGTTTTAATAAAATATGCCAATTCTGACATAAAATCACGGAGAATGCTGTCTTGTGATTCGAATTCCAGAATAAGCTCGCTCACTCGCTACGAACCAGTGAACGAAGGTTGAAAGCAGGGTTTGAGGTTTTCGAAGATGGCTGTCTTCTGGGTTGCGTAGTCTGTGTAGAAGTTTACCGACGTTTCAGAGGTTCCTGCTACCTCCGTCATCAGGGCCACCAGGCTACACGGCACAACAACCCAGATGATCTTGATTGCATAAGTGTTTGTGTGAAGTATACTACGAGCTGAAGCTAAGTGGCTAGATGTGTTCCCGGCGTCTCACTGAGCTGGCACATCTAAATCAGGCTTGTAGGTCCTGTTCTTTGTTAATATGCCCCGGTCTTCAAAATTAGGCAATCCGCTAAACGCCATTCTGAAATTGGATATCTTGCAACAATACACGTAACCTTTGTTCTGGTCTCGCCTATTCCAAGCCAAAGTCCACTTTGTCTGAGCGCACACGCATTTGCAAACGACATATCGCATGTAAGGGTTGTTTACGACTAAGAATACGATACCTTCCTTTGTATCGGGCTCGTAAACCAGTTTCCAAACCAATTTTGGAACAGGAATTACAGGGCTGCCATTATTGTCTGTGCCGAGGTAAATGCCACGATTCTCCAAATTAACAACGCCAAGCGTACCAGAATAGACAATTAGATCAGAAGCTCTCCTACTTGTGTTGCTGGCATATTGCCTTATTTCTTCGGCTAACTTCATCCAGTTCCCATTCCTGATGCTAAGCCACATTGGAACTACATTTACGAGATACATAGAAGATCTTTGTTGGGCTCCATAAAAAAAATCTAATGTATCAGCTAAGTGACTTTTAGTTAGATAATTAATGTCGTTTGAACATTTAATGTATCTATCAACACGCGACGTTCCAATGGAAGCCCCAATTACTCTCTGTTGATTTGAACACGTGTAATATGTTTCTGGAGAATTAGGAAGGTTGTTATAGTAATCAGTTTCATCGAAATTTCTAGTTTGTTGATTCCTTTGTCGTTTTTCGATACCCGCAACTAAAGTGTAATTAACGTAGGATGTGTTGTAGTTTGTGTCGTCGAAGCATATGTCGATAAGTCTGCTGAACTTATCAGACGTTTCGTAACCGATCTGTAATCTATTATGACGACTGCTGCAGGTCCCAACGTTTCTTATGGCTGACTGGGGAGTTTCTGTACACCGCAAGTCTGATATGAGGACAGACTGTCCATTCAACTGGAAATTAAAACCTGCAAAAAAAAATTACATTCGGTGAAATATTTGGAAATGAGAGTAACTTAAGAAAATTACATTCAAGAACAAATTAAGAAGAGATTAAATTCAAAAAAGTGCTTGCTATCATTTAGTTCATAATCAATTCTCCCGTCTCTCAGTTGTTAAAGTGCGTATTAAAATATAAATACTATTTTGCTGTGTTTTGTTACGGGTGTGAAACTTGGTCTTTGCTATTAGGGAAGAGGGTGCCTGGTGATGAAATTTTTATTCTTTATCAAATATCAGGCCCCTCACGGTGATCAAATCAAGGAGGAAGGAGTGGACGGGAAATTTCAACACTTATGTGAATGATGCGAAATATGTGCACAATTTCATCTGAAGACAAAAACAGAACGTAGCTTCCGAAAGGTTCTAATTTTATAGTCAATGTCCAGAAAATAAGCAGTTGTATGTTCATCTCTTTCTTCGTCTTTAAAGTGGATATCCCCGCATTTATAAGGGTTTAGGGGCAAAAATGAAAGATTTCAAAGAGATGCATATTTCTACATGGGAATGGCTTACGTGACTCTGAAAACTTCCCTGTCTCTGTTGACTCTGACGTAATGATAAAGCGAATTGAGCTTATTAGCTCAACATGCGGTTAATTACATGACAGGAAGCAATTGCATTGACTCAAAGCGTCATGGAATCTGACAATATTTAATTAGTTTACCGGAACATTCTTATACGAATGTTGTTTCGTCATAGTACCTCTGTACCTGAGTCACATGCAAGGGTAGCTTCATTCGTCTGTCGTGTCGTCCCCGAGACCGACAATCGATTACTGTTTCCAGGGCAGAGAAGTGTCAGCTCTTCTCCGTTACTCAAAGTGGCTACCGGTGACGACGCAGTTGGCAACAGGAAGCTTGTTCCGTCCGACACTGCTGCGTCTTTTAATATAATCAGTGGAGACATGGCGTCCAGTTCAGATGTGAAGTTCATGATGCATTCTGCAGAACACGTCGAGTTTTAGCAAAATTACGTATTCCATGCACTTAATTTAGCAAGGTATTGGAAATGCAAAATTACGCTGTTTCGGGTAACCATTCTTGAACTTTAACACTTAAAAAAGACATTTTTGCTGCGTTGCACGAAATGTGTGTTGAGGAATTAAGATATGATTCTCCTCCTGTCAAAATGGCTCTTGTTTTGATCTTGAAGCCGCAAAGGTTCGTCTATTTTTGAGTGTACTTAGTTTTATAAATTCGATTGAAATTATTAAAAAGGCGTCAGATTAATTTGATGTAAGAACAAGAATAAAATAGTAAGGCTTATAGTGTTTTACAAACACATATAAAATTTCCAGTATTGAACTAAACTTTCTGTTAATCCGTTCCCATTGAAAGGGCAAGATATTACGTTCTTAAACTCCTACAAAAATTGATAAGGGTTAATGAAAGGTAAAAGTAATTTGCCATGCAACGATGAAAGCACACGATAAAACGGCGAAGTAAAATTAATACAGGCTTATTGTAAAAATAAAATTTTACTAATAGGAAGAATAATATTAATGGAGAAATCAAACCTTATACTCTGTTCGGTTAATAAAATCATGTTTATATTTTTAAATTAATAATATAATATATTGTTTGTTACCTGCGTTTCCTTGGGCTATGCAAGTTCCAAGGATGATGAGAATGATCACCAATCCATCTCTTGCACGAAACGACGCCATATTGATTTTACAGGCACAAAGCGAAGAAGTTAATTTCTGCAACACACTGTCAACATTTCTTCGAGGCTAAGAGCAGTAGTTCTGTTAAAAGCAAGTAAACACTGTCTTGCTGATTTTAATGACGGTTATTAGACGCACTTGAATGTTCAAGGATGTGACCTCTCGGTCTTCCGTCTCTCAGTTATCTTGAGATTGTTAAAGAGAGCAGAGAATAGACAGAGATTATTCGAGCTCACGAGAATGCAATCAGTCGGTTCGTTCAGCCTATAAATAACGGGACTGGCCCACGAGTGTATTATTTTGAATTATTTATCTAATTTCTGTTTATAAAATGTGGGATATGTTAGTCCTCCAATCGAGAGTCAAGGAATTTCCTTAATATAGGCCACTGACTTTAAAAAAAAAGACCTCTTGGTTATTATTGTGTGAAGTGTTAAATACTGAAAGGCTTAAACATCTGCAGTGGTATTTTAATCCTAAAATTCTCGAGCCCTACAAAACCCGTTTTCGAAAAGGAAAAGAGTTCGGGGGACTTTAACGCCATCGTCTGTTGCTTAAACTACGTTTTATGAAAGTCGTAGTATCTCATGTAAGAAAACAGGCGACTTATTTTAAGAGTTTTTAGAAATAGCTGAATCGAAGTATTCTACACGTGTAGAAAGTCCAGTGGTGCTTAAAGGGCCAAGAAGTAGAATTTAGTTGAACGTAAATCCGTACATCAGAAAGTATCAGGTAAAGGAACAAGTGAAATTATGGTCTTCTGGGTCATGACGCCGTGTGGTCTTTTAGTTGGCTGCCAACTTTTCGGAGGAATATATCGCTTCCATTACAGATAAATTCCTCCGAAATGTAACCAACCAACCCCAGGACCACACGGCGTTACAACCCACAAGACCACAATTCACATTTCTACCATTATGAGCACCTGTTAAAGGAAGTGTTCATTAACTTTGAACAAAACAAAACAGATTTTTGTCTTGCAGTAAATTAACATGAAAACAAAATGACGTTTGGAAGTAATGTGTGCTCTGGAATGTGGTATTCCAGGCATGCAAATGCTGCTTCCTGTTGATGGTAAGTACTTGTCCCTAAACCCATATTTATGTAGCCGTTCTGTCCCTCGTTTGTTTTACCGTAACAAAGTTTGTGCTCTGGGTTTCCCCACAATCGGCTTTGTGGTGTGCAGATCTAGATCATCCGAAGAATATTCATGACTTACGACGAAAGTATTTTCGCACGTGACCACCCTCGTGTGTGGATGATTGGAGTTCGAAAGTGACGGACGAGCAGAACGAGATTCTTTCCGAAGTGAATTAAACTTGCCGTTGGTGTCTCATGACGTTTCGTAATCCGAAATTATGGTGGAAAGTTTAAGATCGTGATTTTTATAATTAAATTACACTAAGGTAGTATATTTGCGTCATATTGTGAATTAGGTAAATATTTTAATATTTTCCGTCAAATCACAATTTTAATAAGATCGATTTACAAATTGGAACGTCTCTTACAGACGTTCCAAATTGTAAATCGATCATTCGATGCGGAACGTGAAATTATATTTTAAATATTTTATATTTTATTATCTTATTAAAATTGTGATTTGACGGAAAATATTAAAATATTAAATTACACTAATAACTAATTGCACACCAGCATATAATCATAATATACACCATTCGATACGAAAATCAAAAATGTTCAGTAATAAACTTCGTGCCTTCCAGTGTATTTTTCCGCTGTTATTTACTTACGGTTTAATTCTGAATGGAAACAGTTTTGAAGCTTCGGTTCGAATCTGTTAACTCTGTGGAATGAAACGATAGAAGACCAATATATTTCTATGATCAGTTTTTTTACCGCTGAGGTTGCCGACGGATCATCGTACTTTGTTATCTAGTTTTGCCATTCTAAATGTTGACATGCAGCTGGAAGTGTGATAACAGGAGGAAGTTTGTCGCTAGACGACTGATTAGAGAAATATTTTTCATCAATAAATCCTGGTATGCATGGAGCTAGTTATTTGTCCGCTTAGACTTGACTCTGCTGGAAAACAGCGACTTATCGTCGCCAATATTTCCAAACATAAATTGATGCCCAACCAACTTCCGATGCAATGGGAGTCGTTGGCTCTTTCCTCGTGACGATGAGGTTTAGAATAGGTGGAGCTACGCCTTCACTCTCCCCTACGTCTTCATGTCCTAGTACTTAAGAAAGGCATTAACGAATAAAAGTTACGAAGATTTCCGTCTTCTGGGTTGTTGCGCTGTGTAGGCTGGTCGATGTTAACCAGCGTTTCAGAGGTCATACTGCCCCCATCATCAGGGCGATGAGTATGAAGACTTCTGTCTTCTGGGTTGTTGCGCTGTGTAGGCTGGTCGATGTTAACCAGCGTTTCAGAGGTCATACTGCCCCCATCATCAGGGCGATGAGTATGAAGACTTCTGTCTTCTGGGTTGTTGCGCTGTGTAGGCTGGTCGATGTTAACCAGCGTTTCAGAGGTCATACTGCCCCCATCATCAGGGCGATGAGTATGAAGACTTCTGTCTTCTGGGTTGTTGCGCTGTGTAGGCTGGTCGATGTTAACCAGCGTTTCAGAGGTCATACTGCCCCCATCATCAGGGCGATGAGTATGAAGACTTCTGTCTTCTGGGTTGTTGCGCTGTGTAGGCTGGTCGATGTTAACCAGCGTTTCAGAGGTCATACTGCCCCCATCATCAGGGCGATGAATTCACCGCTGTGAAAACCTCAAATCTTACAATAAAAGTTACATTTAAGAATATTTATTAAGCATTCTATACTTAATTCTTTACAATTCTCACAACAGAATATTCGCTAACTGGCGTTTTTAACACTAATGTACATCAGTAGATAATGTCTATAATTTGATTAGTTTATCTAATTAGGATAATGAAGACGCAAAGAGACTGAGCTACTGTCTGTCGGCACATCCTAAATGTTACCGTGTGCTGTGCATGTCACATGAAACTCGGATGTGGGATCAGCACATAATCCACTTAATTTCCGTCCGTTGCATCTGAAACCTTGAACAATGCATCGCAGAAATTGTGTACTTACGCTTTTAACCTGTTGTCTGTTTTCATTCCGTTCACAGACTTAAACTTGGTCTGATAAAAGATACAGAAATGTGAAATCATATGCCTGTACAGCACTTCATTTTCAGTACAGTAGGCAGAATGTTGAAAATTGAAGTGTCACTCGTGAAATGGTTCTTGTTCTTGTCACGTGGTCTACTGCCGGGCAACACAAGAGGAAAGTAATGAACTACACGTACGTGACTCAGTATCGAATGGCAGACTTGCCCTGCGAAGACATAACCGTCTGTAACAGGCCCTTCCGACGTAAAATTAAATGAGTTTCGGCGATAATTTATTTAAATTTTATGTTGAAATTTAAGAAAGTCTGCGCAAAACCACCGAGAAGTTGTGTTTCTTGATTAAAATGAGCTTTTTTTTGTAGACTACACTAGTGAAGCAAGTTTCTAACTCTGAACGAAAATGATTTCATCCCGGTTTTTTGGCTGAAATCATCTATGGTGCAACAATACACGTATCCCTTTCTTATGTCGTATCTGTTCCAACCGTCGAACCAGGACGATGTCTCCGAGCAGACACACTCGCAGATAAAATAACCGCGTGTCGTCTCAAAGTCTTGATGGTGTGGATTGTTGACAAGTAGAAATACTATTCCGGCATTTCTAGCGCGGTCGTGTACAAGTTTCCAGAAGATAGCTGGCACTGGCATTGTTATATTTCTCTCCTCGCCTTTGGTCAAATATACGTTCTGATCTATACCAAACCGATCTGGAAGTGTCATTACGTCCATTGTCCCTGAAATAATAGTCATGTCTGCGTTGTGCCTATTTGCATATCGTCGTATTCTGTTCTCCAAAATCCTCCAGTGTCCTGTGTTAATCGTCTGCCACTGAGGGGCTGTGTTGATGTCATAGGAAGTTATCTTTTGCTGGAATTCAAATAACAGGTCGCCCTTTGGCACAAGATGGGCTTTAGTGAGATACCTATTACCCCCTTTATCACAATCGATATATTTTTGAGCGTGGTTCTTTGATTGGAGTAAGTTTCTCAACGTCGCTACTTGATTTTTGCAAATGTAGAATTGGTCTGGCGTTTCAAAAAATTCAAGTAACGTGTCATTTCTTCTGATATTTTCGCTTTCCTTATAGACGATATTTCTGTTTAGACTGTGCCTTGTATGTACTGTGACCTGCTTTGTGAGGTCATAGCAGACTTCGATCACTTCAATGAACTCGTCTTTCAGGTTGAATCCAATGATTCGTCTCATCATATTTGTTGCGTTACAGTACCCATCCTCCTTAATAGCAGACCGTGGAGGATGATCACATCTGATGCTACTAAAGTTCTGGAGTTCGCCATTAACATTGAAGGTGGAATCTAGAACAGAGCATGACATACGTTACTGGCGTCATTCTGTAGGCTTATTTGTTAGTATAATAACGTGTTGACCGCGTTTCTTAATAACAGAAATATAAGTACTACATGCATAAATATTTTAATTTTAATACTCGAAGTAGAGACTCAAGGACCAAATAACGACTACCGAATGGTTTTTTTTTGTGACGTATCGTTAGTGCAGTAGAAAGTAAACGATTTTATAATATTCACTTCCTGGCAGCAGATGCAAGTTGGTGAAATGATATGTCGTACTGAATTATAAGTCTACCTGATATAGAATTTAATAGTTTAAAACATCGATAGAGTCTCGGATAGACCAGGGGTGGGAAATTACGGACCACGGGGCCAAATGCCGATCCGCGAAGAACCCAATCCGGTCCACGGCGATATTTTCATAAGTTGTTAATAACACTGCCCATTGTAAATTGCTCATAAATGTTATAATCACAAAAAAAAATAAAGAATTAAGAATTAGATTTAGATTGAAATTTAAGTTTTGGGGTCATATTTCTAGGGATTTCGAATTTCATTTATGCTACTTTCATAGTTGGGTATTAATAAATCGAGTGGGACCGTTTCAGATTAAAATTTAATGCGAATCTTTAAGATCGTGGGAACGCCAATCAGAATTACGAATATCGTGTCTATTGTAGTGTTCTGGGTCGTCACACTGTGTGGCTTAAAAACTTCTATGAGGAACCTTCAAGACTGCACGGCGTCTGTGCTCAAATGGCCACGAACATCTTCACCGCGAGGAATTCGTATCTGAGTAGGATTTGAAGTTTTTACTGCGGTGAGTCCGAAGATGGCTGTCTTCTGGGTTGTTGCGCCGTAGACGTCCTCGAACGGCAAACCTTACCCTTGATGCAGATGACATTTTCTTCAGATTCCACGGAGTCGGATTTAGGTAAAAGCAGTTTGTTGTTTTTTACGTCTGGACAAGCAACCCGGACAGTAGTTCCTCTGCGGAACGTTAGCAGGTCCGAACCCACGGTTTTTGGCATATGGAAGGGACTTTCTCCACTTCTGGACACGGTTTTAAGGATCAATGGTGAATTCTCCTTCAAATCAGATGTAAGAATCTTGCAATCTGCAACATTGAGAAACTAGTGAAATCCTAGAGATCGAAAGTTTTAGGCGTTAAAGGGTAAGCGTAATATTAAAATTTAAATTATGCGAAACTTCCGTTCTGCAATAGACTAGACATAAAGTGTAAATACAAGCAAGCCTGTCTTAGGAACAGGTAAATTCATCTCTTACCATTTTCGTTTGTTCTTGCTGCAACAGTAGGCCTGATAAGATGAGTAGAGGATAATAATACGGCCAAAGTCACAGAGATGAGAATTGTATGTTTCAGTGCCGCCATCTTAGTTCTTCACCACACAAGATAATTGCTTCAGAACTCACTTTTTAATCTATTTTCTGTTCGATTGAAAAAAAGCTGATAAAATTCAGAGCAGAGTATTTATTATAAAGAGTCTGGAGACAGTGTGAAATGAACTGGACAAATGCCACGTCCTGAAAATCAAAGACAGGAAGTTGTGGCTCTCCGCATCCCTCGAGAAGTGGTACCAACTACCAAATCTTGGCTGTACTGCGTTCGGTGTTTGCTTCGTTCTGTTAACAGTAATCATGGTCGGAGTCTGAAGATTTGTGACGACGATGCATTGTAAGAAGTAAAATTGTTCTTTTCGTCTTCGCCCGTCGCGTAAATTATAAAATAGTAACTATAACGTTTTGGAAACTGTTTCATTTTAGAAGTTTGTCATCACCGTAATGAACTCTGCAGTAATTGCATGTTTTTAACTTTGTATCCAAGAAAATAATTAAACATTAATTCCACAGATAAATATAACGTCTGACTACAATAAGCAACTTACCATGAAAATGGAAAGCTACAAACAGAACTACGGATCATTATAATATATTGCATCAAATATCTAATAGTTTTTAAAATATTTTAAATTGATAAAAACCTGAAGACGACGGTATTACCCGTCGAAACATGTCGTTTTAATAAAAGCGCTAAAAAATATAATGTAAAATCGTATTTACGATTAAGAGCGCTAATATAATATTTTACACAATAAAATGTTTTAATATTATATAATTTTTACAACACCAATAAACTTCAAACGTTTGTGTATAGACTGTACAAAATAAATATATTTAATCAAACACAAACATGACGCATATAAGATACAAATTTGTAGAATTAATTGTGGTATTAATATAATATAAGCAATACAAAAATGGCATTCACACAAAATGTGGAATGACTTCAAGATATCCGTCTGTCCACTGTGTTATTGAAACAGATACATCCATGCTATTACAAGCCTAATCTTGTTACAAAACAAGAGATAGAATAAAAAAGATGAATGAAGCGTGTTTATAAGGTTAACGACAGAAGAATGAGGAAAAGATACATCACTTTTCTTATAGGAAACAAAATACTTGTGAGTGTTTTTTGTTTACCCTGATAAGTTTTATACCAGCATTACGTTACCGCGGGCCTTCCCTCAGTAATGCGTTTAATTCCTTGCAATACGTTACAGTAACATGGCAGTCATGCGAAATCGTTTCGTGTAGTCAACATCAACACAATTTAACATTTCTTTCTGTTTGTATATTGGAAATTACACACATGGCAATGGAACGAAAGACTATTACGTTCAATAACCTGCATTTCCGTCACCTGACTGCTTGAATCGTGTCGTAATATAGACCTTTATCAGGGCTAAATTCTACTGGTGGTGAGTCGGTACCAATTTGTAGTACGTGCTCATATTCTCAACCGACATATCCGTAGCGACTAATCACAGTGTACTCACATGTACCTGAGCTGGTTCGAAGCTAACAATTGGTTTATAGGTTTCTTGAATTGTGATTTAACTGCGTACACTCGTTCGTAAATTATGATGGGCGACAATTGATTAGGTCATTGGGGAGCTTCGAGATGTCAGTATGTCACTTTGTAGTTGTTAAACGTGCGTTCAGCGAACCCTCGCCCAAGGGGGAGATACTTTCCTCGGTGGATCAATTTTGAAGATGTTAACATTTTATGGGATTAAGGAGGATAACGGAAAGCAAATAAACAAAGAATAATAAATTTTCTGTAATAATACTACTTATTTATAGATACCAATCGGTGTGATGGATGTTAATTCCCAGAAGCACTATGCTGTTTCATGAGACGGTCGTATACGATTTTCCAAAAAAAATTTGGCACTGGAACCACATTTTTCTGTTTTATCATTGCCAAAATAACCAGGAACTGTATTTCCGTTTTCATGCATTAAGTTCAGCATACCGGAAGTCCCTGCTCTTCCCTACTCCCACCACATTGGTGCGGTGTTGTGAACTGAACAGGAAATCTTCAAAAACAACAAATGTCCTTCAGTAAAATACAAATCGCTACTCGTATTTTAACTTACGAGTTTCCCTGTTGTGTTAACTGAACCAAAAGGGTTGACCAGAGTGATCTTGTAACTTCAGGTAGACACATCGCAGTGGATAACAACAGATGTAGGCATAATTGCAGAGTGTAAAATTACAAGAAACATTAAGCTTTTCTCAGTTTCTAATTTCTTTTTTCTTTTAGTAAGCCAACCGCAGCTCCATCTGAAATTCAAACCCGCTGTCGTATTATAGAAAGATTATATAAATTTTCAGTGCTAGGCTTAAATGTCTTGGATGAGGACAAATTCTGACGGACGATTGGACTGGGTCTATAAATTGTCTGTCCAATTAACGACGCATAGATCACCTCCCTCAAGGCGTCTGAGCGGGAAGGAGACAATGCGTTTGTTTGAGGTTAGACCCAAACTTACAACAAACAGACTCTAATAATTATAGAGCATTATACTAAGTTAACCCTTAGAGAATATTAATCAGTATTGCGTGATGAAGGTTCGTACTACAGAGAATAACGCCTTTGGGTGGAGTGCGAATGGAGCATGCAATGGGAACGGATAGAAAATGTCCATTGTGAAGTACGTGTTGATGATTTGCTGCTAATACTGACAAAACGCACACACACTGAGCTGGCTATCAGGCTTCAGAAAACGCATTAAAATGGGGGTTGAATCGAGATATAATTGAACATAAACGTCTCAGGAATTATAAAGATTAGTTTTAAAAATAGTATCACACATTCTTTTCATACTGAAAATGGTACCTACGAGGTGCGATCGGAAAGTTTCCAGACTGCGCGTATAAAAACTCGTACACTTATCTCAGGTATTAAATTCATCCATCACCCTCGAAGTAATTCCCCTGGGAGTGAACACAACGATCCCAGCGCCTCTGCCAAGCCTGGAAGCATCCCTGGAAATCTTTCTTTGTCAACCTGTCAAGCACCATCTGCGATTCTGCCTGAATCTCTTCTATC